GGGCCGGTGGGAGGAGGCCGAGCAGCTCGAGGTGCAGGTCATGGAGACTCGTAAAATGAAGCTCGGCGAGGACCATCCTGACGCACTGACCAGTATGGCCAACCTAGCGTCGACGCTTTGGAACCAGGGCCGGTGGGAGGAGGCCGAGCAGCTCGAGGTCCGGGTCATGGAGACTCGCAAGACGAAGCTCGGCAAGGACCATCCTGACACACTGACCAGTATGGCCAACCTAGCGTCGACGCTTTGGAATCAGGGCCGATGGGAGGAGGCCGAGCAGCTCTTTATGCAGGTGGTGAAGACGAGCAAGACGAAGCTCGGCGAAGACCATCCCTCTACGCTGACCAGCATGGCCAACCTAGCGTCGACGCTTTGGAACCAGGGCCGGTGGGAGGAGGCTGAGCAGCATTTTGTGCAGGTCATGGAGACTCGCAAGACGAAGCTCGGCGAGGACCATCCTTCTACGCTGACTAGTATGGCCAACCTTGCTTTCGCCTTGAAGTTTTCAGGTCATGATACCCAAGCCCTCGGTTTACTACGAGATTGTCTATCCAAGCAAAAACAAAAACTGGGGCTCAATCATCACCACACCTTATCTAATTCTGAAACTTTGCTGGAGTGGGAAACAGATGTTGAATATTGAAACCTAGATGAGTAAGATACTTGAATATGATGTATTACTTCGCATCGAGCCCCACTTCATAGTGTCATTTCGTAAGACATTTGATAAGATAATCTTCCGATCATAGAAGGATTTTGTGTAGGTTTTGCGAAAAAGCTTATCCATATAATTCTGGCTAGCATTGCTGCCAATTGCTGCCAAATTTGAACGTATTGATGGTCAGGGTATTACCGGTATTTTATATCACTACATATCACGTGGTTTTCTCTTTCCATACAATTCGACCTTGGAAATACAGCTATTCCGGGAATGAACTAGCGTGTCTCAGAATAGGGTTCGAGAAGGAATATATGTAAAGTGGTGAATCTGATTTCGATCCATCCTGTATTTGAATACCTGACCGCTGATATGTATTAAACCACTACATGTGCAGTGACGTTCTTTGGCCCTTCATATGGTGTTAGTGGTCTTCTTTTCTTAACTTCGAACCGAGGTATCCAGTTTGACAATGCAATTCTGAGCCGAATCCATTTGACCGTTGAGTATGAAAATTTGACGGAAGACTTCCGCAGAGGCCTCTGGAGAACCTTTTTGTTCAAGGCCCGAACACTCCAAGGTCCTGTCGTGATTGAGGAGGACATCCAGTGATTGGAATCTTTGGCTCTTAATGGACGAGAGGTGAGTTCCATATTATCGAGAATATATCACTTGCTGACTGCCATCAATCAGATCAAAAATATCGCAACAGTTGCACACGCTCTCGCTGAGGCAGATACAACGGAAGTCAGCTATAAATACTTGGAATTAGCCGCGAAATCGAACAACAAATTTTCCAAGGAGTTTAGAAGACAGGGTCTTGTTGACGGAATGTATATCTAACGACGTGACGTGCATGGCAAACGTGAGCGGATAATTCTGCTGTCAGAGTTTTCAGCAACCCGGGACCTTCACCGCGATATGTTCGGTTTATACACGACAGTCTTAGCTAGGTATTGAAATTAAATGAAACTTTGCGATGCTTTCATAATGGTATATCATTGGAAAAAGCCTCAAGTTCGGAAGCCCGGCTCGCATCATGATTCGGTGGTGTCGAAGCATATATAGAAGCGCAATTCGCCTCGAAATAATGGATGACGATAGAAATGTGTGCATCAAGAATAAGATCGCAAGTTTAACAGGTAGAAAGTGGATTACCTTCTCACGACAAACGAAAAAGTTTTGCGCCTCCTGTCTCAGCTCGACATAGCGTCGTTTTGCTGCCCCCGGTCGCTGCAGAGTCGGTCGACATTTCATCAAAGCACGCCCAAGTTCTTCACTCCAAAGGACATTGTCTCGCCTAAGGTCTGTATTATTCCGAGGGCTTTGATTTCTTTGTTCGATTCGTGAATTTAACGCTGTACTCCCTCCCCCCAGGTATCACGAGTGATCTGAAGGTGTAGACGTAACGTCAACTGACGGTCTATGGGTCTGGGGGCCGTCATGAGCGGACAGCAGTTGAGCTGGACAGGAGCTTTTTTCTGCTTTTCCCAACCCCGACGCGATGACCATGCCGCATGTTGCCAAAGGTTGGTTCAAGAGCCCGAGGGCGCTTCAACCATTTCACTTCCTCCAGGTCAATGACAAACGAACACCCAGGTCATCCCACAGCATATTGCGCCACTCACTGTCGCTGTGGACAACTCCATGCGACCGGAGCACGGTCAGAGCTTAGTCGCGCTCCTGGTGAAAGAATCTGGAATTCTCATCGTTGATGACATGCTGAAGCCGTTTCCCAGACCAGCTCAGTATCATCATCTGCGCCATTAATTCGCCATGGTACCAATATGAGACTCGTGGCGTAAATGTCCCAAGACAGGCGGGGATCTGATTTCCTTGCAAGCTCCTGAGGTGACGATAATTGTTCGCCTCCGCTTGAAGGCGATGCTCCTTCTCCATTGTGGTAGCTTTAATGACCACAGTGTACCCGTGTGATAGAAGGGTAGCTTTGACGAGGTAGCTTGTCCGACCACAGACGTGAAGCTGTTCAAACCCATGGTTTCGGTTTCGAGCAAGTTGACAGTGAAGCCGGCGTGTGAACTCCTGCGGTCCCATAGAGTGTCTCTGGCCGCCGTGGAGTTTCCAGTTGGGGCATTCTTTATCCAGAGGTTCTCGGTTGACGATGCCGCGGATGCAGGCAATTGTACAGTAGGGTCGTGTAGATTGGCCATCTTTTCGAGAGGTCTGTTTGTAGTCCCGACCGACTCGTGTGCTTTCGCTTTCCTTAATTGATTGGCGGTTGTTGCCTCGGCCACGGCTCGACCTGCTGTGAGCCGCTGCAGTGATGGATGGCGAATGCGATTGTTCATCACTGCCGCTGCCTTCGGTCGACGAATGCTTTGGAGTAGACATGTCTGGTTTGCAGCGAGCACGGGATCGTGTATTGTGCGTCTTCGGCTCTAGTTTCCAGCGCGAGGGTCGATGATTGGAGGCTCGCGGGTCTTTACGGAGAGTCTCGGGGATTTTTCTCAGCACATCCAGGTATTCGACCTCCCAGGTCTTTAGCTTATCATGTGCCGCATCATGCCACTCTTGAGACGGAGCTTCGGCGGCTAGCGCTTGAAGGGTGAATGCAAGCACCTGACCGATGGCGGTCCGGTGGAGGCGCAATTCATTGTCCGCCTGCACGTCCCGGTTCGGGATACACATGAATATTGAACAACTGTGGGATCATCCTCCGGGACATGGAGAAAAACAAAAGCCTCCCCCATGCAGATGTAGCCGTATTGAACCCCACTGTCGATCATATATGAGAATATCTGAGTGACCACAACAGCGACGAGGCAGGTGGCATAAAACTCAAACGTGTCGCCTTCCTGGTTAATGACATCGCGAGCTAGATCCATCTGGTGTAGGCCCGCCACTAATTCGGGAATTGTCACCTTATGCGGCGCTTTCAACTCCACCGCATATACTGGTATTTGTCGTTCATCAGCCACAAGGTGCACGCAGAACTGGTCGGCACGACGATTGCGTCTTCGTGCAGTGCCATCCCTCTTTTTTCCCTGTGCCGCTCCTTTCCCCCTTCCTCTGCCTCTCCCAGGCCTGGTGTTCGCGAGTCATTGGGGTGTTCGCACGTTCTGAAGATTCATTTGCTCCAAGCTGTTCTTCAGCGAAGTTTCCGATGGGTTCGCGCGGTCGTAAAAGGTGACTTGGCCTTGGATTCCAACCTCATTTCGAAACATCTCGCAACACCTTGATAACCATTTCAACAAAATTATCCACCGTGTCTCGCTCAAAATTTCGAAGGGACGCTTCCGAATAAATCGGCCTGTTCTGGATATTCGTGACGACATAATCTATTTGGGTATCAGAAGGGAAGAGAGGGCGCGAGGTAAAGGCAGCCGTGCGGTCGAATTTCCTCCAGACTTGCTCCTGGAGCTGAGGGAAATCAAGCCAAGGGATCATGCGCTTGGGGTAAAATCTATTCACCGGGTTGGTCGCATCGCCCTGAGTCGTGAGGGTTGCATCCGTCTCGACTCCGATCGCTTGAGACAGAGAATTGTGGCAGCGATCGAGAGGGGTGAACAGTGTGTTCGGCTGCACATGTCGTTCCGCCTCTTCTCGCGCCTGTCTCTCTTCCTCAAGCTAACGTCTTAGCTCGGCGATTGTTTCCTCCATCCCTTGTTGAAATCAGTTTGCAGCAAATAATCGAATGATGCAAATCGAAGTCAACATAGTAGGAGGTTCGCTGTCAGGCGCAAGGGAGTGGTCCGTCAGCGCGAAATGCGTCCAGATGTTTACCAGCTTACTCACCCTCTTGGCTCGAGTCAATTCATGCCTCAGGCATCAAAGGCACCAAGCGCAGTGAAGCAATTACGAAAGCACCGATTGGTTCGTGGAAATCTGGAGCGGTACAAAAATGGGCAGCCAGTAATCGACAGTGAGCGGCAACTTTCCGAAAAAGTTGTTGACGAAGTTATGGGGGCGTTACAGCGTACCGGCTATATGACACCGCATCATATTAGTCGCTCCTAGGTATCAGACTTATAGTTCCTAGACGATCGTTTGCTCCCGGGAGTGCATAAATATAGCTCCGGGAAACAAGGAATGGTTTCCCCGAGCTATTGTGAGACAGATTAGAGATCAGGGACAGTGAAAGGAACGGCCGTACTTGGCAGGCCTACCTGTAAAATCTATTGGTTGATCGAGTCCTTTCTCGCTTGAGTCCAACGGGTCTTAGCAATCAAATTGCCGTAATCGAAGGCATGCATGACGTGTACGGAGTACGTCGCCTCCCTGCTGTCCCCGCTCTGTGGCTGGAGTCAGTTGATATAATATGCAATGTACATGCATAGATCTATACCTACTGTATGCAATATTACCCCCACGGCTGCTGATCACAATGCATCGATCCACTAGTCACAGTAATAGCGGCGCTTTCAGTCCCAACTCTAACCTTAACGAGGACAGGTCCAAGATCTCCGACCTTACGGAGCGCCGGCGTATCCAAAGTCGCATCGTACAACGAAATTATCGTACATTCTCTCGTCGCGCAACATTAAGCACGCCCGTTCATTCTACTAACGATACATATAGGGAAAAGGCTGAAGCGACTACTGGAAGACTCGGAGCGCAAACGACGAGCCAGTGGCACTTCGTAAAGCCGTACCTAATAAGCCTCGCACCAAACAATCACGAGCTAGCAAAGCAACCGAAAATGATGCACACACAACCCACGCCCTAGTTCCCGAGCGCCCGGTTTTATACAACTATTATGCAACTACGTAATATGAGTGCGATATGGTTGGGCAACAATATCCTCGCCAACCATCCGCCTCGCCACCCCCGGTCTTCTCTTACCCGCCACTTTCCTTCTCCGACGCCCATCGACCTAGCTACGGCCAAATGCCGGTCTATCACACCGTTCCTAGTTCCTACAGCGACATATCCTTCACAGACTACGGTGAACCAATCCCCAGTGTGGAGGACGGCTCGCCAAGGACAGGCAACTTGTATCGATGGCTTCTCGAGTTTTGGACCTGGTAGATGAAACAGACCCGATCGCACGTCATCATGCTGTGAAGCCTAGGCGATTATGAGCACCCTTTTAGATCAGGTATGGATGTGTACACACACATACACACAATCTATTAACGCCCGGCGGCTAAGCCGAAAGGGCAACTGTCGCTGATCTACTATACATGTCATAATATATACAGTACTGTTTTTCTTTAGAGCCCATACATAAACCTTACAATATAAGTCATTTTCAACATGCAGTGTCGCGATGGATATGTACAGTATAGCCCATAATATGAGACCATTACTATAGACTATAGTCGGTATGTCGGTCTACAACTTGCATTTTTCTGAGAGCCTGGGGACCCGACGTGCCGAATTCAATCCCGATCGTTGGCTCGGCCAAACGGATGACAAGCTCCACTAGTGGCTTGCGCCATTTTCCAAGGGCGCACGGTCTTGCATTGGGCAAAAGTAAGAATGTTCCCTGCTTGGTTTTCCTCATTACTATCACTGATAACGCGTGAAGTCTAGCCCTAGCTGAAATCCGAATGACGATTGCATTCTGTTTCGGCGCTTCGAGTTCAGCCTCCCTCCGGGCTCTAAGATAAATTCAAAACATGATTCCTTCACAGTTCACCTCGCTAGCCCGGGACTACTTTTACAATGCAAGCTAAAGAAGGAGTAAGATGGAATATGTGAGAATTGAGCTGTTATATAGAGTGAGGAGCAAATATGAGGTTCCGGCTGATTCGACGGCCCAATTATATTACTTTGTTTATCTGCGATCTCGCTCTGCTAGGCCTCGAAATGGCCCGACTTAAGTTCGATTCAAGTTTGAAGCTGACAGCCTGATTTGCATAGTTTTATCAAGATCTTCTGACCTGGTAAATTACAACTATAGGTCCGGGGGTCACGCTGATATTAGTGATTACCGGACATGGGGGTTTCGCAGCTGGCGTCTATATCGCTGCGTAGAAACCATGTCGACTGTCGATTGGCCATCATGATACTAGTTAGTACGCATATCTGGCCATCTGATATTTATCCCTCCGTCGGGAACGGTGTGACTTCGGCGCCGAATCAGTTGTATCTTGTTTGGGTAGGCTCCTAATACTATAGAAAAACTTTTGACCTTACCTGCCTCATCTTAAACGGGGAACGTTACGGCTCAAATTTTAATAGAACTTTGTTCGGCTCTGGGGCTCCGAGTCCGTCTGCATGGAAAAGCCAGCAGGAAAGCCAGCATTGGGATCCATCGCGTAATCGTAATAAGTAAGGCATGTCCATCACAGAGCCGAACTATTTGCGTTCAAAGCGGGATGGAGCGTCAGGGAGATAAGGCGACAGAGAACTGACATCATCTCCGAAAAGAGATTCCCTGAGGCTAACGTTCTCTCGGCGTGATCGGCTAGTGGCGGTACTTTGGTTGTAACCCATGTTCGGGATTTGACCCAAGTTCGGGATTTGACAACGGGTCACGAAGATGAGGGTGAATAGCCCCTCCAAGAGTCAGGAACCGCACTTGACCAGCACATGGAAGATGGAAAAGGAATATCCTAAAAACCATAAAAGACGGCTCGCAATTGAAAGATACCAGCATTTGAGCTGTCCTATGCACTTATATACATGTTCATATTTATGCAAGCAGCTCGAAGCAGAAATTGAGGACGTCAGACATTGGACGGAGCATTAAGATAAAAGATCCGTACTTCTGTCACGAACGGCCAGCACTGACCGGCATTCCCAGCCTAGTATAGCCGGAATTCCATTTGTAATCACGAAGCAAATCTGACTTGGGGGAAACTGACTCGAACAGATGTCGCTCCCAATAAGATGCCATAGCTAGGCAGCCTGACACAACCCCCACAGCGCTCTCACGTCCATTGGGTACTCTTTCCAAGGGATCCATAAACCCATGGTAGAAGAGGCTCCATTTCGCAGATCTGCCAAGGGTCGATCCCTTTGTACCACAGCAGCAGATATGCGGTTCATGGGCAACACCTTAGATCTCCGGTCCTTAAATTATTACCGGCAGTTCCTACGGGATATTCCATCCTTAGCATTTGCAATAGGCTAAGAATAAGGAAAATATATACCATGAAACCCTTGCAGTTGGTGCGCGAAGTGGTTCACCGTCGGGGCGGCAGATCACTATATCCAGCTGCAAGCTCTTCTGCCTGGAGACTGTTCTCCACACAATCAACAACCGCTAGGTGCGCCACAAGAGGAAAGGGTAGGTGGCTGAGTAGCTTATCTATAAATCTTTGAATCCCCGGTGCCTTCTTTGAATCCTCGGAGGCACCTAGGTAGGGCCCATGCGGCTAGTGATCTCGTTTGCTTTTTCTGATCGCCTTATGCTTTCTGTGCTCTTCAACCAATCATACACACTGCCTGTTTAAGAACCCTCCTTTTTCTGTTTTCAGTTTGGCGGCTGAGAACATTTCATTCCATACAATCGCCCGAATACGCTTGATCTGAGACCTCGGTCGACTGGTCTTCGCTGTATGGTACTGTTGTTGTGTCCTGATCCCCGCATTGGAATAGAAACTGACCACAAGCGCAGGTACGAGCGAACATGTCAAGGCAAAATCAGCAGGGCGGGCTGACCTATCCGCACTTTGCTCTCGTCTATATCGACCGAGATGGCAATCTGCGCCAGGAATTGTCGCGGTCTGTCGCCCATAGCAGCCAGACCATCTTATCTCCACAAGTCATCAAAGAGTTTCTGAGCGCTGTGGCAAGGTCATGCTACGATTCATCACATTCCCCATGTAAGTCACATGCCTAGATACAGCCAGCACGATAAACTGACCAGGATAAGTGGAGCTATGCGTACAAATACCAGCTCGCCGAATACCACCAATCGGGCAGACTACTATGCCGCATCAAATGGCAAATACGATCTGTGGTGTGGATATTCACGGAGTTGAAGGGCCCATAAATTTGCAGGCGGGTCCTTCAATTCGATCAGCGTCGTGGCTAGGTCAGCAGGAGCCTTGGGCCAGAGAACACCAACAGCTAAGAACAAAGCCCTGGAGCGAAAATCTTAGTCCAAGCAATCCGAAGACTATGATCTATATCAAGGACAAAGACTTTTTGCGTGGGTACTACGAAAAGGGGTTCCAAAACCTACAGCAGACAAATTGCCGTATCATAGCCAAAGCTTACGTCAAGCTCGTAGAGCCCCGCAAGCAAATTAACTACCCATACAACGGACGAAAGGTAGTTGCTGGCAGGATCCAACAATTCGATCCTGATATGACTAAGCCACCATGGTGGCCAGCTGGAGTTAGACACCGAGAGCCTGATCATCTTCTCAAAACTGGTAATGGAATACTACCTTCTCCCAATATCGGCCTAAATTACTGACCGTCCAACCAACAAGAACGCATTAGACTCCTAGTTTATATCCTTTGCGAGCTGCGCACCAGCAATGGAATCACTTCTCAGCAACTTAGAGAAGCGGACCAGCCCATTCGTCGTCAAATCTTCCCAACCGAGCGATTGCAGATATTGGATGAACTGTACGTGGTTAGAAGAGCGGAGGAAAAGTTCCTGGAAGGGACTGCCGGTACGTGCTCCTCCCGACAAATTGATTAGACCTTAGCGGCTGACCTGCTACAGACGAGAAAACATTAGTCTCAGTTTCCCGAGCAAACCTACCTGACGCAGGGGGCTTCGCTGTTGGTGAAAGGGAGTATAGTAGAAAAATTCCCCTAGCAGAAGACGGCTCTAGCCGATGTCCCGGTCAAAAGCCCCAGAGTATACGCAGTGGGTCTGTGCGAAACAGGAGCACACAACAGCCTGCACTGATGCTCGCTGCGGAAAAGCCTACGGGCTTTTTCCCGAACTCTGATTCCGCCGCCCAAAGTCCTTCACAGCATATCCAGCAAGACCTAGCTATATACCCCAGTTTTAATCACGCATCAGCGTCGGTGTCGGCATCTCCACAAGGCCTGAGTGGAAAGCACCCCTTTGTTGAGACCCACCCACATACTACATTCTGCACGGACTCCATTCCATGTAATTCTCCTTTCTTTGCGGGCTTCCAACCATTCTTGCCGGAGACTTATGATAGCCTTCAAGGCTTCCAACAGCCAGGGGTCCCAAACACAGGGGAGTACGGGGCAGAACAATTGAGAAAAAACATTGAATCCTATGGATTTACCTACTATTCTGAGGATTGGATTTTTTAGCGGTCTTAGCATTCGCTACAACGGGTTTCTTTATCCTACGATACACCGTGAGCAAAATGCAAAATGCAAGTGTTTGATATCCGCCAAGTCGTTTCTTTTCGGTAAACAACATACTGGAGCTGTCGACGATCCAAGTTCTGAAGGCAGATAAGGGTTGAATGATATGCGGGATATAATGAGAAGTAGTTTTTGTGAGCAGGAAATGACCCGCAGAAAGGCCATCGTGGGAGCTACGAGGTTACAGTACTAAGGAGCCCTGTTAATTTCGAAGGATTCTTCTTCAAAGAGTGAGCCTATCTTATCGAATCTCAACTGCGAAAGCTTCCAGGTAATATCGCCTAACTGGGAGAATTACAGATACGACAACAGAAGTATCGTCCAGTCTTACACGTCGGTCAGAGGCGATTTTCCGACGTAGACGATCCGCAGCTTCCTCTTTTGTCTTCCGCCAGTAGCAACTAGTTCAGTGTCCTTTTTCACAGCCCGGTTATTCAGAGTAACCTTCCACTCGATTTGGTAGTGAACACAGTTAGAAGATTGTCCATCCCATGTTCCTCCATTTTGTTCAACAACTGGCAGTAGTTCGTTGGATTGTGATGGCTGCAGGTGAAATGAACTTTCCTCGGGGCCGGGTGAGGGGCAGAATACGGATGGGGTACAGCAAATTTGACTTTGAAAGAGCTGTTCATGTCGTTATTGCTGCTATGACTGCGAGTAAGGTTCCGATTACGACCTTGGCAATAAACAACGGGGTCGAACGATTACACGTGCACCCAAACATGCTCGCTTTCCCGGTATCTCATCTAGACCGCGTACCATGGGTCAACGCAATCATCACGCTGGAACTCACTTTGGTCCCTAGTGACGGCGTTGCACCGCGGGCTTGGTCAGAGCCTCTCGCAGACTTCATCATGCGTTTTCAGAAGCTAGAATGTCTTGACTTATATGTTGATACTCGACTAAAGCAAGCTGCGTTCAGTATCCTCAGTCAAAACTTAGAGCTACCACATCTTCGGACCTTGAAGCTTGATGGTGTGGATGGCTTACCAGAGGATTTATCAAGGTTTTTCATCAAAAACCGAAGTACCCTTCGAGAAATATTTTTAGAAATAATTGGTGTCAGTACAAGCACAGGAGGCTCATGGCAAACACTGCTAAGTGAAGTCCGCAATCAACTCCAACTTACAAGACTGAAAATGACTCAATGTGATGCGAATGGGGACGATATCTGTTTTGCAGAGGATTCTTTCGATCGCTCAAACATAATCGATGTGATTGGCCAAGACACTCGTTTGCTAGGTCGACTCATTAAAAGCATTATGAAAGGAACTCCAGGGCATGAGGAAAGAGCTTCTGTTCTTGAGATTTTTTGAATGGGATACACTATAATCATCTGTAGCTATTTCTAGGCTTTTTATCATTACCATACTGAGATACTGTCGAAAATGGGTCAGGGGTAGGTATAGCCTAATGAAAAATAGAGTTCGAGGAACAATTGAAGAGATTTAAAAGGTGAAAGTGATTTCGAGCCCGCCCGTACAGTCATGTTCGAAATCAGTGACTCATTGTGGTTACCAGTGAATACAATACAATACAGCCCTACATGGATTAACAGGGGAAGATCTGAAATTAGATTAGCGTGTCTCCACTTAGGGTATGGGGATCTAATCGTGAGTTTAGAGTTAAAACTAATTTCGAGTTCTACTGTACCTCGTTAATCACTCGCCTAATGGTACTGACTGCACGACGATTTAGGAGTTCATTGTGAATATTCTGGTAGCTCTATATCAATAAGGATAAATGGGTCATTATTGTGGTACTGCAATTTCTATTTCATTTTGTGAGTTTGGTGGAAACCTGAAGTCAACTTATCACATACTGTACAGTAGTTTTCGAGTTCAGTTTTACCTTCACACTCGTCTAAGTTTATCCATAAACTTTAATCTGAAGTGCACTATTATTGATTGAGTATAGTCCTTGACCATCCATTCCTGAATTAGAGATTGTAATTTACATAACAAATGGGACGCCCCAAGCTAGTTAGAGTACTTTACATGAATCACCTAATACACATATTATCGTCCCTTAGTGCCCCTCAAATGATCACCTCTACTCCCCATGGATGGCCATTCAGGTAGTCCATATCCGACTGCATAACGTGGCCACGAGAATCGCTCATGGTAGCTATATATGATAGTGTTAGGTCTGTATAATAACATCAATTCTTTCTGCCTCATTCAATTTTCAAATCAAAAACGTAAACAATTCTGCACTGGAGCCCTAGTCGAGTTCCGGGCTATAAATTGTTAAATCCGCCCCGGGGAACTCGTCTTCCGATTCATACAACTCTTGGTCTATAGAAAACAACTTCCCCTTCCCTTTCGCATTTTGTGTTTCGTTTGACATCAAATTTCGAACGGCACCATTCAACCCTTCACCGACATCGTTCTGACATTGTTGATCATCGAGACCCATTGATTCGATTGCAGTTTTTTCACACATATCCAATTCGGCTCGCTTTCTTTGTATATCCTTGAGTTGCGTATGTAGTTTCCCTTCTAAGAGATCCTTATTGCGCTTGAGCTCTTCAATTGCGCCTTTCAGGTCCCTTCGAAGCACAGAAACCTTTTCTGAACGAAATAAATCATCCAAGGCTTCAAGAAAAAGCTGTGCATTTTCGGCAAGTCGTTCGATACCATTCGCAGTCTTTCGAAGTCTGTGGACTGCAGAGTGTCGTAACTCATGAAGAAGGCCAAATAATTCATCGATTGGTTTATTCATGCCTTTCGCCGGCTGCGGAGGATGTTGAGAGATGAGCTTCGTCCATTCTGTCAGTTCTACTGCCTCAGGACAATCCCAGCCTTTTATTGCCAAAATGCGAGGGAAATGCTGCTGAGCGAACTCAAAACAACTCTCTTCAAGTAGGTTCTGTATCGTGGTTGTGATAAGATGTTGACATCGATACTGTATGTATACTGGGTATAGCGACGGAATGGCTTTATTGATATCTGAATTTCCTAAGTATGATTCTGTTGGAGTAAATAAATTGTACTGGGTTTTGATTTCTATGAATCGGGTATACCTACTATCTGATTCCCTGTTCCCCTCATTATGTGGTTTTTCTTGAGAAACGATGTCGATATCTCTAGAGACTTCCCTTTCGGAAATCTCCCTTACCGCACTTGCTTCACCTCTCGCAGCCTCTGCTTCTGAAGCTTCTCTCTCAGCGCTTTGAGTTGGTGATACGTCAAACAGTTCCGGGAATCGTATCTTGGCTTTCAAAGTATCGTCAAAAACTTGATCCTCAAGCAACTTTTTCGCGACGTTAATAGTTCGATCGATATTATATTCCCGCAAAATACCTGCGAGAGAAGGCTTGTTTTCTTGAATCAAGCTCCTAATCACTTTTAATCTTCGGACGTGGGAGTGGGAGCCACCGAAAATATGCTGGCAAGCCAGATAAACCAGCCTTTCATCAGGGTCATTTTGCCCCATCTTTTGGGTATTTGAAACCTAGTCTCCTACTAAGCCCATCTGTAGCAGTTGATATGGATAGGTGATTGCTTATGAGCCGTGAATGTGAGTTCGAGATTTCTCTGGCTTGTACTGCTGATTTTTGTTACGCCATTCCAAAGACTTCTTAGAACGGCTTTCGTGGTAAGAGTTCGCGAATATTTCGGCTGGAACTATCTGATCCACCTTTAATATACGTAGTAGGAGCAGGCGAATTGCCCCCTCTTACTCGAGACCATGGTCAGCCAGATTCTGCGACTTCGTAATCGATGACATCACCATATTTATCCTTTTCAAAATAGTGGAACTCACACCCAGTACGCCAACCCCCGCCAACAATCCTCTCTAGCTTTTACTTGCATGACAAGAAAGGAATCCTTCCTCTTGCCAAGTATTCAATACGATTTTCTAAATCCCTTCTTTCTCTCCACTATCTTAGCCGCAACCAACCATGTTTACAGTAATGTTCAAAATCAGCTTTAACTCAACACACTCTCGATCTGTCTTCTAAAGCCCCACAGAGAGCGCACTAGTCCAGGTTAGGATGGCGTTCCGCTCAGAGCACATCTACCAATGTACCCGTGCTGAGTCAGGTTAGATTACGGTAACGTCAGAGAACCACATAGTTTCAGACGCGGTTGCAATTATTTCACCATTTCCTCCCGAATTCTACCCATGAAATAGGCTAGCCTATCTTTGGCTTAGCTGAACGCAAAATACTACATTGTATGGTCAGTTGATATCACATGACCAATAGCTTGATTCACACGCCTGTGCTGTGCCCCCTCATCAGCGGTTGTTTTCCAGGCACACCTTGACACATCCCGAGACGTTTGCCTTTCGCTCAATATGTCAAAAAAAATTGAATGCCTCAGTCCAGAGCTCATCAATATTGTTTCTGAGCACCTTGGATGCGAAGATCTTTGTAATTTTCGACATAGTACTCGATATCTTCGAGACTGTTCTCTCACGCTTTTCACTAATCTCTTCTTCCGCCAACGAGTCCACCTATTAAGCCGATTTAGCCTCGTTACATTGGTAGATATATCACGTCATCCATTGTTTGGACTCTCGATGCAAGCCCTGGTCATCTCACCCGACCACTTAATGCCGGATGAACTACGTGACGACCCCCGCTCTTCGCCATGCTGGATTACGGGTATCAACTCCTCAAGTATTACCGATAGAACGAAATATCAAAAGCACCTCAACGAGCAAAATTACTTCCGCTTTACAGGTCTAGATACCACACTTTTGACTCAAGTACTCAAAAACGCAAGAAATTGTCGAGACATCCGTCTCGATGATCAAGATCGGCCTTGGGGGGCTGCCGCTATTGCAAGGAACACCGGACTTTATCCATCTTCGAACGCAGAAAGCGATTACAGCAAAGCTTACTTCCAAAGAGCTGTCCATGTTGTTGTTGCTGCTATGACTGCGAGCGAGGCTCCGATCACGACCTTGGCAATAAATAACGGGATCGAACGATTACACGTATACCCAAGCATGCTCGCCTTTCCCGCATCTCACCTAGATCACGCACCATGGGTCAACACAATCACCACATTGGAGCTCACTTTGGATCCGGGCGACGACGTTGCACCACAGGCTTGGTCAAAGCCACTTGCAGACTTCATCATGCTCTTCCGGCAACTCGAATGTCTTGACTTATATTTCGATACTCGAGTGGAGCAACCAGCATTCAGTGCCCTAAGTCAAACCTTAGAGCTACCACATCTTCGGACCTTGAAGCTTGCTGGTGTGGATTGTTTACCAGAAGATTTACTAAGGATTTTTAACAAACACCAAAGTACTCTTAGAGAAATCTTTTTGGAAATCATTGGTATCAGTACAAGCACTGGAGGCTCGTGGCAGTTATTGCTAAGTGAAGTACGCGATCGACTTCAGCTCACGAGATTGAATATGACCCAATGTGATGTGAATGGGGACGATATTTGTTTTGCAGAAGATGATGTTGATCGTTCAAACATAATCGATGTCATTGGTCAAGACCCTCAATTGCTAGATCGTCTGATCAAAGGCATTATGAAAGGGACTTCGGGATGTGAAGAAAAGACATCTGTTATCAAGATCGTTTAAATTGGACACTATATTTCATCTATAGCTGCTTAATAGGCTGTTTATTATTGCTATACCGAGTATTGAGAGATTCGATTGTATAATAACCGTAATAGAAATAGTATAGCTAATGAAACGGGATGATGTTGGATGTCAATCAAGCACAACGACAAAGAACTCATAGTGTCAAGAGATGAAAACAGCTGCTTCTTTGGATGATTACTCACAGTTCAATTAATTCAATATTATTACGATGAACAACAAAAGTATTCGCTAGTTTTTCTTTATTCAACAAGTACCTGGATAGGAATAGCGGGCGTTTCTAAACAGAGAGAAGCCGGTGGTCGCCAAGAATAATGTCTTTTGGTATTGAGATTGTAGTAATTTACCGTAGTTTGTTAAGGTACATTGGTTGGTGTGATCTGGGCGGATCGCCATCCTAATCTGGACTAGTGCACTTTAGGTGGGGCTCTGGCAAACAGAGCGAGAGTGTGTGGAGTTAAAGCTGACTTCGAACATGACTGTAATTCTACTTCTCTTGGAGATGGAAAGCTCGCGAAGGCTGAGGAAATCATTTCTTATCGATTCAAAGACCGACTTGGACCTCGACGAGCATTACAGCTTGCTGATAGTATCCACCAAAATGGAAACAAGGATCTAGCTCTACTTGGTGATACTGTTATCAAGTTGATTCTTGTCAAGGAGGGCCTTCGTCGACATGCGGCCCGTGGTAAGTGATGACTTGTCACCACCATGGTATGTAACATGACACTGATGGATATATCTGTGCCTTCTCGCAGGTCAGATAAACAATGTGGTATCGGAGAAATCGTCCAACACCTATCTTGCGCAGCGAGGCTTTTCCACAGGCCTAGCAGAATGTGCATTTGCCAATCGATCCCAGGGAAACACAATCTACCCGGGCCCCATGACGTCTACTATGGAGGCTATCGTTGGGGCTGTCTTCATTGATAGTAAGGAGGAGACGCTGGTTGTTAAAGGAGTCATGGAGGCTTTACGCGTTTCTTGGCCTGAGTGATCTATCTCCTCATCGCAGGTAACGCTTTTCGCCCCTCTTTGAAGAAAATCAAGTCCAGAGCGATTGCTCGCGTTAATAGGACTCTTAGGTACTCTTCGTGGGGGCCTACGGATGCTTCTCTGCTGGGCCTGATCGATGGGAGTACAAAGGCGCGGAAGTCGCATTTCGAAGCATTCTGATGTGTTACTCACATACTTTGAAATGGATTGTCGTATTTTGTGATGCCACCCACTTGCCCTTACGGAGTAGCTTCCATAGGCTCCCACGGGGATGAAGTAGGCTTCAAGCTATGACGCCGTTTTTCATACTATTGACTTGGAATGAACCAACAACAATGTTCGTTCACTGATAGCACCTTAGGCTGTCATTACCTTAAAGGTGACTTTACATGCTATACCTTCATCAACTGGAGATCGTGGCAATTTCCTGGCTCGAAGTTACAGTCTTTCATCAACTGAAGACACAGACGCTCATTAGGTAGTTGAATAAATTGTCAAATTATGGTCCTCTCCACGCAGTGGATTTCTTAAGTCCTGGAGCGGTCGAATGCACGAAGAGCCATCATTGATAGAAACAACAATTAATACAATGAGACTTAGGTTGTGGTAAATTCCATTCGGTAGAGAATTCCAGGACGCAAGATCACTTTACTGTAACCTACGCCAGCTGATCGAGGGAGAATGTAAAGCCAAAACAAGATTGCTTGCTATTGGCCGTTGCCTTCCTAACTCCCGTAATAAGTGTAATATACCTATGAGTCACTGTAATGGAACTGTAATTCTACTGGAATATGATACAATCGCTTGGCAGTCCAGATAAACGGCCAGTTCTCTCATGCATAAAGCAGTACCCGTTACCTCGATCTCGCAAGTTTCATGTGTTGACAAGGACGTTAACAGATATTCTAACGAGTATTTCAGTTTCAAGAATTATCGCTAAACTCTCCAGATTACCTCTTGATTTCAAATAATTTTGGCCGCTTTCGTCATCATGGATGTGCCCACTCTCACTGAGGTGATGGACAGGACCAATCTGAATGACAGGCATTATGGACCTAAGGACCTCGAACAGCTGCTTTTCCAAACTCAAATTATTTCAACCTCAAATTGAAAAGTGGAATAGCGGATACTGTTTTGGGAAATATTCCCCGGTATCTTTTTCGAATTGCCTCCATTCTCAGACGGATCCAGGAATGAGATGTGGGTGAAGTCACAGTCGGCAAATCAAAATAAGTGGTCCTCCACAGAAGATATATTTTTCAACTTTGGACAACAAGAAGCGAGCAGAAACAGCTCGGATTCTGAGCCACCATCTTTGGTGGTGGCCAAAGTACAGGACAGATGATAATTTCGTCTCTTGGACTAGCTCGTTACTTTTTGGTGACTTTTACGATGTCCATCAATTTGATGCGGCCCCAATAATTGATCTGCGCTAAAGCCTTGGCGGTGAGGCCGGAACAGAGTGACGAAGAGTGTATCTGTCAAGCCGATTTTGAGAACGACTGTAATAGCTGAGTGCTTTCGGTTTACATCGATTAATACATTCAGCAGCTTTTGCCATTTGCGAGGTGGTTGGTAATTTGCTCAATAATGGAGAGAGCAAGTATTGTCGTTTCATGACTCTATACTTTTTCATTGCCGGGCTCGTGAGAATGAGTAGTTGCACACCGCAGGTTTCCACGTACCGGCTTGGAATTTTATGCAGAGGTTTCCACAATGACGACATTCCTAGCACATTCCTAGTTGGCAATCAACTTTTCCCATCGCTGGAAAGTGGACCGGTTTTGGAGAGTGCTCTCGGATGCGTTGAGGAAATGCTGTATATGACCAAGATTTACATCTAAACGCTCCTCGATTAGCCTTCAACGCTCGCTGAGGTCTTAGCCACTAGCCAGCTCTTCTTAACCACTCTTCTTAACCCCACCCTCCACTTGCCACTAGATATCTCCTCTGAATATTATTTGCGACGATGCTCAGTTCTTTAGTTGGCGCACGCAGACGTGCTGACTCAAGAACTCATTTATTGGGTATGGTTAGCCAGGTTTCAAATGTAGGAATTGGAGGAAGCCAAATTAACATTCCGCAAAATGCAAAGTTTACAGGCACGCTCTTAATCAGTTTCACCTCTTTATGTAACCTTGCTCCTGAACCGAGTCCACGGTCAGATCCACCCAGTGCGAGTACTGTATCATCAAACCTCCATTCAAAACAGATACTCTATCAATCCACCAATCCACACATGCCTGATGTCCAGGTTCTTTAAAGTCAATCCACGAGGTTATAAATGATGCTAATCAGTAAAAGTGAGAGGGCATGACCGGCAGAACCCCTGTTCGGCACCCACAGGCCAGCTACAATAAAGCACAGCCGGCCTCGCTGCAGGCGGAAGGAAATGTAGTTTCCCAAGCTATAAATTTCCAGGAATATGCCCACGTCAATCGCACCATTGGATTTCACGGCCGAATACCAGCATTTGGCAGTATGCAGGCAAAAGAATCAGGTCTTCGAGAACATGGAGCTGCCCAAATTTCTGGACCAACGGGTTGGCGGTACAGGATGGATCGAAATCAGTTTCACCATTGACTCGCAAAAATTATTTTTCAAACCCTCCTTTGAAACATTCTAGGCTCACTTTGCTTTAGCGCATTTCAAATCATCGAAATGTATTGTAAGGAATATCACATGATAGCTTACTGCGTAATTTAGATGAACTAGCCATACAGTTGGGTGCTCTCGTAAGCAATTTGTATTATCACAACCTCGATGCGCCGAGTGTCTATCAACATGCTGCGAACACACTCTCTACCGCAGCGTGATCCGTGATATAAGCTATGATGCGAGACCTGCCAGATGACTGACTACGTAGTGGACAGCGTTAGACCAGTCCTGGTTCTTGTGCCAGATTTTTGCTGCATTGAATTTTCTCTTGACAACGTCCATCGAAAGATGGTGCACCAATGCTATTTGTCCTTGACCAACTATTCTGACAGCAGGTCGGAACTGGTCCGTCAGCAGGAACATATTTTCAATCCGCAATCAGATACTAATTACAAGACACGAAAGTGTAATTTGACCGCTACCGACCCTCTCATTGGGCCGAGATAGAACGGCGAGGGCGGGGTATGCAAACGACGCGAAATACAAAAAGCCTCGATCGGAATATCTTATAGCATTGGGTATTGGGTAATCTACGCCAAGACATTCAGCGTGACATGTATGGCGCTCCTCGTCGCCTACATCAAATATGGATGGCAAGATGTATCACAATACAAATATTCCATCTCACCCAATGTAATAGTATTCGTTAATTGTCACGATCGCAAAGGCCACAATTCTCATTCCGGTCTCCTCATGCTCGAGTCAAACACGGGGAACCAAGACATGCCCGGGAGACGTCTCACAAAGAGCATTTGTGCAAGCGCGATATTTGGCATGCATATGCAAAGCATCTAGCGAAGCGCGAAGAATATTCTGCTAGAGATTTATGTGAGGGCTGGTACATTTCGTCAAGGAAGATGGTACCAACTTTGAAGTAGATACGGTTAGACGGACATAACAGAACGTCGAAAGATGACAGCTGTCGCCCTATTTCGGAGTAAATTGTGGTAGGGTCCGCTAAATGATTGGATTCGATCGTCCATGCGTAGATTGTCGGCGGGTACGGATCCGCTGTATTTGAGCCCGGAGGGCATTCGAACTTCTTTGGTTGGCAAGCGCACTTCGAAAGTTATGCTCACTTCGAGCTAACTCATGCTCAATCTGATGATCACGCTTACTTCGAGAGTCACGCTCACTTCGAGCAAACACACGCTCAATTTGATCAAAGTCACGCTCACTTAGACGAGGGATGAGCTTGATGATTATGATACCTTGGGCGGTTTTTTCCTTGAACAACAAATTCCAAGCGTTAGATTGTACGTGAGAAAGTATTCCAACGCATTCCGAGTAGTCCATATCAGGAAAACCAGTGATATGGAGGCATTTCTGCTCGGAATCATACAATAAAGACATTGCCGGATTGCGACCGTACAATATTTCCGATAGTCGATCAACTGTTGACTGGCCAGATTCTATCGGAACCGGTCTCTTCATTTTAGATGTATTGTGCTGTGCACTAGGTCAATTTGGAACTGATGCGAGGATAGAAGAACAGTCGCTCGCTGCGAGGGGAGAAACGTGACCCTTTTATGCGTCCGAGAAGACGGAAAGAGAGGGCAGAATCCTGGGTGGCCCCGATAGAATTAGTCCCCTCCTGGGAAATAAATTGTTATTATACCTAGTTAACGTATTTCCCGGGCGAGCGGCGTAGCCCAGAACACATAGTAAAAGCGATACATTACAACTTGAGTGGATTTAACTACGAGAATTTGTGGGGATCCTCGCTCCTTGACCAATCAAAACCCTTGTTCGTGGAGGACCCAGAGCCACTCCCTGGGTTTTGTCGGAGTATGACGACCGGCATACCGGAGGATTTATTAATCCTACATGTTTTTGTAATTAATGTTATATAACGTATTTCACCACCGAACCGCCCACACCACCGAGCCGCCCACCCCAACGAAAACGCGTCCATGAATTAGCACTTAGTCAATTCAACCACCCACCATGCCACCAATTCGCTCTCGAAGCTCTAGGAATTTAATAGAGCAAGAGGGTAGGATTTTACTAGCTATCCAGGCTTATAAAAATCAAGAAATATGCTCAATACGTGAATTGGCACGCCGTTTTAACATACCCCGTACAACCTTACGCGACCGCCTCTCCGGCTATACTCAACGGAGTACTATACGCGCCAATTGCTCGAAATTGACTGGAATTGAAGAGGAATCTCTTGAAAAATGGATTCTCTCTATGGATCTACGTGGAGCAGCCCCCCGGCCCTCTATGGTACGAGAAATGGCAGATCTTCTTCTTCAAAAGCGTGGAACTACCCCGGTTCCTTCGGTCGGCCAAAATTGGGTTACGAAATTTGTTAAACGACGTCCTCTCCTCTCCTCCCGATTCTCGAAACGGTATAACTACGAGCGTGCGAAATGTGAAGACCCTAAAATCATTATGGAGTGGTTTGACTTGGTTCAAAAGACAATCCTTTAATTTGGAATCGACCCTGACGATATCTATAACTTTGACGAGACCGGCTTTGCAATAGGATTGACTGCAACTGCAAAGGTTATTACGAGGAGTGAATACTACGGTCGGAGGCCGGTTTTACAACCTGGAAATCGAGAGTGGGTGACTGTTATTAAGTGTACGAATGCCTCTGGGTGGGCGCTTCCTCCGTGTATGATTTTTAAAGGCAAAGTCTTTATTGAATCATGGTTCGACGGCCTCCCGGAGGATTGGCGTTTTGAAGTTAGTCCTAACGGCTGGACTTCCGATGAAATTAGCCTTCGCTGGCTTAAAAAGCTCTTTATTCCTAGTACTACGCGTACGAAGGGGGTATACCGGCTTTTAATACTTGATAGTCACGGAAGTCATTTAATACCTAAATTTGACGAAATTTGCGAGCAAAATAAGGTGATACCAATCTATATGCTAGCGTATTCATCTTATCTTTTACAACCTCTTGATATTGGTTGTTTTGCGGTATTAAAACGTGCGTACGGTCGGATGGTTGAGATGAAGATACGGAATAGGATCAACCATATTGACAAACTTGACTTCCTCGAAGCATACCCCCGGGCACGAATTGAAGCTTTTAAATCGGAGACTATTAAAAATAGCTTCGTAGCAGCCGGTTTAGTACCATTTGGACCCGACCGAGTGATCTTAAAGCTCAATATCCAGCTTCGAACCCCGACCCCCCCTCCGAGCCGGGGTAGTGATTGGGACCCTAAAACCCCATCGAACTACGTCCAACTACAGTACGTCTCGAAACTGGCGCGACTACCTTCCACTCTTTGACTGTTTCTGAACCCGAATGACTCAGCGGCGCTAATATATTTTGGGGGTTTTTCCGAGATACCCCTGTCAGTGGGGATTGTATTCGCTTTTACGAAGAGTACCGTACGGCCACGTTGAATGTACTCGATTGTAACTTCAATACACTCGACATCTCCGTGCCCTACCTCCAAATCTTTCTCCCTTGGTACACGAACTCTCGATGATAATCATAAGTGAGTGGCGCTACGATGGCACCCAATCTTGCCGCGTCAAAGCATGGGCTTATTTATGATATGATTTATAGTGGAGAGCTATCTGTCTCGTAGATAGCAAAGGCTGCTGGCTGCCATAGGAGTACTATCCTAAGAATATCCTCCAATATAAAAGATTTTAGTAGCGTCAAAGCGCCGCAGAATAAAGGTGGTCGACTACGAAGCATCTCTCCGATTATATTGACAGCTCTTTGTGATCACTTGCTCGAAAGGCCTAACCTCTACCTTAACGAGATGGCAATTTTCCTATAGGACGAATTCGAAATCGAAGTAACAAAATCGAGTATCAGCCGCGCTCTTGCTTATAAAGGCTGGTCTAAAAAGACCGCCCGAGTTAAGGCTCGGGAACGTAACCTAGATCTACGTGACGAGTATACTTATTTTATCTCAGATTTCTAGTCGTACCATCTCGTCTATGTGGATGAATCCGGGTGTGATAAAAGAATCGGCTTTAGACGTACTGGATGGTCTCCACTTGGCATGGCACCAGTTCAAGTATCTAAATTCCACCGGGATCAACGATATCAGATATTACCGGCATATGCTCAAAATGGAATTGTTCTCTCTCGGGTATTCCGAGGCTCGACGGATGCATCCGTCTTCGAAGATTTCATTGAACAGCTCTTCAGCACTGCGGTAGGTGGCCTGAGCCGAAGTCTGTGTTGGTCATGGACAACGCATCTTTTCACCACTCCAGTCAAATAGAAACGATGTGTTCAGAAGCTGGCGTAAAGCTTGTGTATCTGCCTCCGTACTCTCCTGACTTGAATCCTTTTGAGGAGTTTTTTGCTGAACTAAAAGCTTTCATTCGGCGCAATTGGCAGTCCTACGAAAATGACCCGGATCAAGGTTTTGATAGCTTTCTTGAATGGTGTATTGATGTTGTCGGTGCGAGAGAAAAAAGTGCGGAAGGACATTTCCGTCACGCAGGTCTGACATTAGAAGAGATCTAAATTGGTTCCCGAATTTTACGGAGCCCATGTTTCCTAGTATATACAACTCGAGAGATGATTCCGGTAGCCGTGAGCCTTGATTAGATAAGCCTTTGAGGTTCCGTTTCGCCAACCGCTTTCTCGGCTTTGTAGTCGCATCTTACAATACAGATCTTTGGAACTACATGTGTCATACGTCCTTGACATTAGGTACCGCAAAAAATACTTGCCTGTAAGTAAAAAAACAGAATAGCTCTATGTGGTGCGGCAATATCCGAATGCATCATTGTCGAGTGATATGTATTGCAAATATCGAGATAGATAGAGTGTATGAAATAAAATTTAACTTGTTCAGAAATACCACGCTCTCAGAAAAGTAGCTGATATCCCGATTAAGATCGCAAAACCTATTGTTACCAGGCTAAAAGTGAAAGGAATCACGGAATCATTTGATAGCTCTATCTCATGTTGATTGGCGCTTTGCACGAGATTTTCATGAACGAGATTGCTTAACAAATGTGTCAATTGCTCCAATGGTACCCCTGTGAATTGGGGGACTTTTTCAGGCACGTTGGACACTTCGAAGACTTTGTGCTTTTGGTTTGGATGCAATCGGCTATGGCAGGGATACTTCTGTACACAGGAGGAACACAGATCCATACAGGCGCACAGTCTGCATACAAAGCGAGTCTCTGTGATCCTCCAGTTGCACATGTTGCAGGAGATCTGCCAGATATCCGTTTTAGAGGAAGCATCCCGAGGCAGATGGAGCTGGAACAGATAGCGCGCGTTGTCGAACTGGGCAAGAAACAAAAAATAGCGACCTAATTGTTGCAAGATGGGCCATGGAGAATTGAACTTTTGAAATTGAAGCGACTCGGCGAGTTCGAAGATTGATTGATGAAGAGTAAGCTCTTGAGCATCAGGAGGTGTCAACACCAAATGAGAGCAGTGATTATGTATTTCCTGTAGTAGAGTTTCGTGATCGGATGCCCAGTCCATGACATGTCTACCATAACCATCTGGGAGGGAGGGATCAGCACCAGAATTGAGAAGGGCAATAGCAAATTGAATGTGACCATGACAAACCGCCAGGTGGAGAGGAGTTTGTAAGAAATGACTTCGCTTGTTGAGAGCTAACGCCAGTTGTGGAAAGCGACGGAGTATGTGGAGCATATTGTTTGAAGCTGCAATATGAAGAGGAGTGCGGCCGAGTTCATCTGCAAGCAGTGAATCTGCTCCAGCATGAAGAAGGATTTGAACTTCATCAACATAGCCCTTATGAATAGCCGCCGAGAGAGGTGATCCATATTTACCACCCTGAGTGTTGACATCGGCGCCAGCTCCGAGCAGTATCTGCATTGTCTCAGGGCTTCCTCTCGATGCAGCGGCCTGTAGGGCATTACCGTATTCACCACCCTGGGCTTTAACATCGGCGCCAGCTCCAAGCAGTATCTGCACTGTCCTAGGGCTTCCATTCCCTGCAGCGGCCTGTAGGGCGTTGCCGTAGTGACCACCCTGGGCGTTGACATTGGCGCCAGCTCCAAGCAGTATCTGCACTGTCTCAGGGCTTCCATTCCATGCAGCGGCCTGTAGGGCGTTGCCGTATTGACCACCCTGGGCGTTGACATTGGCGCCAGCTCCAAGCAGTATTTGCACCGTCTCAGGGCTCCTACTCCCTGCAGCGGCCTGTAGGGCGTTGCCGTAGTGACCACCCTGGGCGTTGACATCGGCTCCAGCTCTAAGCAGTATCTGCACCGTCTTAGGGCTCCTACTCCTTGCAGCGGCCTGTAGGGCGTTGCCGTAGTGACCACCCTGGGCGTTAACATTGGCGCCAGCTCTAAGCAGTATCTGCACTGTCTCAGGGCTTCCATTCCCTGCAGCGGCCTGTAGGGCGTTGCCGTATTGACCACCCTGGGCGTTGACATTGGCGCCAGCTCCAAGAAGTATCTGCACTGTCTCAGGGCTTCCATTCCATGCAGCGGCCTGTAGGGCGTTGCCGTATTCACCACCCTGGGCTTTAACATCGGCACCAGCCTCAAGCAGTATTTGCACTATCTCAGAGCTTCCATTGTGTGCAGCGGCAGCAGCCTGTAAGGCATTGCCGTATTCACCACCCTGGGCATGGACATCGGCGCCAGCTTCAAGCAGTATCTGCACTGTCTCAGGGCTTCCATTCCATGCAGCGGCCTGTAGGGCGTTGCCGTATTCACCACCCTGGGCTTTAACATCGGCGCCAGCCTCAAGCAGTATTTGCACTATCTCAGAGCTTCCATTGTGTGCAGCGGCAGCAGCCTGTAAGGCATTGCCGTAGCGACCACCCTGGGCATGGATATCGGCGCCAGCCTCAAGCAGTATCTGCACTATCTCAGAGCTTCCATTGTATGCAGCGGCAGCAGCCTGTAGGGCGTTGCCGTAGTGACCACCCTGGGCGTTGACATTGGCGCCAGCTTCAAGCAGTATCTGCACTGTCCTAGGGCTTCCATTCCCTATAGCGGCCTGTAGGGCGTTGCTGTACAAACCACCCTGGGCGTTGACATTGGCGCCAGCTCCAAGCAGTATCTGCACTGTCCTAGGGCTTCCATTCACTGCAGCGGCCTGTATGGCGTTGCCGTAGTGACCACCCTGGGCGTTGACATCGGCGCCAGCTCCAAGCAGTATTTGCACTGTCCTAGGGCTTCCATTCCATGCAGCGGCCTGTATGGCGTTGCCGTAGTGACCACCCTGGGCGTTGACATCGGCGCCAGCTTCAAGCAATATCTCTACAAGGCTCTCATAGCCTCCAAAGGAAGCTGCTTGTAGAGCACCTCCACCTCCTTCTATTTCCACATTCACACCCTCCTCAAGGAGCCATTTGACAAAACATATATGCCCACCACTCGCTGCCTCATATAACGGTGTCTTGTCGCTGTGGCTCTTTGCCTCTTGGTCGGCTCCCTTCCTCCGGAGTATTTTGCCGGCCGTGACATGACCCCCTCGGGCTGCTAAGTGTAACGGTGTATCTCCATCTCTGTTCCTTATCGCGACATCCTTGATATCCGACACCACAGGTTCTATGAGATCCTTTAGGTTGGCAGCAGCAGCCATATGTAACAGTGTTGTGCCTCTTGGTGGGCATAGTCTGTTAGACCCATCTAGTTTCTGGTAATTCCCGACCCAAAAACTGAGCACTCGTTGTAGAATCTCTTTCTCACCCTGTAGAACATCGGAACGAATCTCAGCAGCCTTTTCCGCATGAATAAATAGGTTCGTAGTAGTATAATGAATCAACGAGTATTCTTGGATAAGGCCCTCTTTAGTTCCTTTAAACCCGCTGGGTCCCGCCAGTATATAAACTGTTGCAAGATACACTAAACACGATCGGTAGAGAGTTGCCTGGCATTGAGAAAGAATCTTATTCTCGTTCATGGACGACATGCTTATGCCGATATTATGACACAAAGCTTTGAGCCCTTTTTTGCGCAAGAAATCATTGACCGACTGGTGTACTACCTGTACAGTCTCATTGTTATCCCCGCTTGGCACTACTTCGGCTAGTCCACCAGAAAGCGCCTTGATTCTTTGCAGCATATCTTCATTGCTTTCGATGAATCCATAGATCTTTTCCAGCCTCTTCGGACGCGCTGTTATTTGGGCGTTCTTCGCCACTAATGCGTACCGCATTTCAGTCACGGTCAGGGGTCGCTCGGCCAGACATACCCATTGAAAGAACAGAAATGACTGCTCGCGGTTGCTCTTCTCTATCACGTTGTTCAAAATATACACGTAAGCATCTTCCAGGCCATCTGGGACCTCGCGTAACCAGCAACTGATGTCGTGTAGCGATTCTCGTTCACGAACCTTCCGCTCGATGAGGGGAATCATAATATGAACCCATTGGAAAACTCCATTCGCTTGCTGGGTCAATTGCTCGACTAGCATTTCCCTCATCTTCTGGCTGGCGTTGTCTTTGGCCTCTGTCTTGATAAGTTTATCTTGGATATATGTGGCAATGTCTTGCTTATTATGATCTTCGACCTTTATCTCTATAGCCTGTCCACTTTCCATAATAGGATAGTGTCGACATGAGATACAAACTTGGATGCATAGTTTCATTTTCTCGGCGTGATTAACGAGGCGATGAAAATATCCTGCCAGCTGCTCAGCAGATTTAGCCCCAGCCTCGTCAAGAGCATCCACAAAAACCATCACGTGCTGCTGGTTGGCTGATTCTAGAATAGCACTTGCTAGTAATTCTTCTAGCACTACCTGTGGCCATTCCCACTGACGTTCGCCATACCCAAACTGCTTACATCGCCGGTCGTATTTCTCACGTATCTGAGGACGTACAGTCGGATCGCGATCGAAAAGCTGGTTCATTAATGATCTCAGCATTCCTAGTGGTGTACGTTGCATCTCTGTACCCCGAGCGGTGAAAAAAAAGTCGAGGCGAATACCAGGGCGGTCGTCATCTGATATTTGGAGTTCGTCGTGCAGAAATACCATCAAGGTCGACTTTCCTACACCTGGCTTGCCCTTAATCCATAGCAGACCGTGGGACTGGCTCCTCCAGGGCTGGTACTCTTCCAGGTCTAAGATCCATTTGCAGGTGTTCGTGTGGCACGGCTCGATATTATCCCTCCTGTCAAGCATCTGCGGGAATGCCAGTGACTTAAGCACCTCTGTCACACTTGTAAGTGCAAATTCTGTTTGACTCATAGGGAGCGAGGCGAACCGTTGTCTATATTCTGCTGTGGGGTCTCTCGTCGGTCTGAGCCGGAAAGTGGCTTCCAGGTAATATTGCCTGGCTTGAAAACGGCTTCAGGTCTCTCACCAGATGAGAAATAGTTCTGAGTTATCGGACCATGGTTGGTCCCCACCTGAGTCCCCGAGTTCTCGTTACCAAACGATGTGGAAGCCATGCTAAATAGCTTGTGAGTCGCTGTCACAGACAGAGAGAAGGCTCCAAAATCAAAAAAGGGAAGTTCAGCCCCGCGATCAGGTGACTGTCAGGCGCTAAGCCTTGGTGGCTACTCCTCCCATCTGGTTGCCCATAGGCATTTAGCAAATGTAGGGGCTTGCGGGGGTCCGCAATAGGGACTATCATGTCAAGGGAGAGATCTAGACTCAAATTCAACTAGCAGATTACATAGCTATGGGGTCCCTCGAAATCAACTGCAGTTACCTAACACTGGTCCACCGTTGGTATCAGAATCATTACACGACGATTTTGCCAAAGTTATAAAGCAGTGAATTTCAAGGCAATAATATATATTGGAAGGCTGTCGTCAATATGTAGAGGTAAAAATAATTTCGAAAACTACTACTGTATTTTAGACTAAGGTAATGCTATTTTCGAGGCAAGTGATTTCCCCGCGTCGCTTTACCCAAAGGCCGATATCACGCACGAACCGCCGAGCAGCACCTATTTTCACGCCATGCTTGACAAAGAAATCTGGATCTTGATCTTCATAGATTTGCGAAAGGTCGAGGCAGTTCTCGAGAGCCACATCGCATGCTTTCTTGATGTTATCTCTGAATGCCTCATTACTTACACGTGACTGCTGCCATTCTGTATAATCGTCCACAGCGACATCTAGCAGGCCGTCGATTATAATTGATCCGGTACAGCTGGGCCCGGTTGGCATGGTAGCATTAGCAGGAGGCTGTATCGATTGTTGAGATCCAGCTAGAAGGACATTGATATTGATTAGAGGACACACTAGACCCGATGTGGAGTTCTCCGCAGCTTTATTTTTCTTGTCCAGTCGCTGGTTCTCTTCGGCATAGACCTACTCGCGAACACTATCAGGGATATCAGCGTGGGTCTCGAGAACCCCACCTTACTCTACATATTTGACGAGGGCCTTCAGATGGTATGTCTTCAATCTATAGTGCCTTTTCCCCTCTAGATCTTGCCAGCAGTATTGTCCTTCGTGGCGACATAGAGGCCTAGGCCATCGTATAACACGATATATATCGCGCTAGACAGAATATTGGCCGGAGACCTGCTCGGCGTCTATCTAAGCGTCTCGGTCAGCGAGTATCCGTATAGTCACCGATGACTTTCCTCGCTTGTCTGTTCTAGAAAGAAGAGGTCCACTGTCTTCTACGTAGTTAATCGATATCTAGAGCCGGATCTTCTTACTACGACGGAATAGATAGGCCTACGCTAGCAGCTGTTTCTCTACCGCGGTCTAATCAACCCTAGTACCTTCAAAGTATTTGTCAATGTTCCGTTAGGAGTTTACCGATAAGACTATATTAGTATCATCTAGTCTCACCCGTCGGCCACGGGCTATCTTCCGCCCTAAAATTGTATAAGCATCCTCTTTTATCTGTTCCCAATAGGATCTAGGTGGTTGAATAAGGTCTTGTTTTATATCCTTCACCACAACTCGATTGTTCAATTTGACCCTCCACTCAATCTAGTAGTAGATACAGTCTAGAGATTGTTCATCCCATACACTTCTATCTATACGTTCAACCATAGAATCAAAACTCTGCTGGTCCGATAGATATTGATGTAAGGAAGGTGAACATTCACCAACTACGTCCTTAGAATCGGGTGAAGGGCAGATTATTGATGGCGTCCATTCGCGATCTGGGTAACCAGGGGTGGGGTCATACGAGGGAGTCCGTTCCCATAGATTGGGCAGTTCAGGTCGGTAAGCATCATCGTCATAATCATCGTTGAAAGGAGTGTGAGTCATCCCCCCAGGCAGAAGATGCCACTGAGGAGTCTATTAACATGGCTGTGTCAGCTTCCACCAGGGGTGTTCCAGGGCGTGAAGAAGAGATGACTGTAGCTGACAGGCTAAGTATTATGATAAGCGGGTTCATGGGTAGTCTGTAAGGACAGGAAGCAAGTAATGCAAGTCACTATTTATAGGTTGGGTGCCGAGTAAGCCCCCCAGACCGACTTGGACATAGGAACAGAAGTGAAATGACAGATGGCCAGATTCTCGAGGGACTCCCAAGATCTAGTGTTTGCCTTGTTTACATTTCCATAGAAAATTCTAGTTTACTTGGGTCGCCAATACAGTCACAAGACGAGACGACGTATTTTAATGAAAGTAAATCACGGTATCGAGACTGATATAGGCATATTGTTATTCCGATCAAGGTCCTGATATGGTCTAGTGCTTCTTGGCAGTGGGGCTAAATAATTACTTTAAGAGTGTAGGTGGTCGCGCCAGTTTCGAGACGTACTGTACAAAAGCAAGCTTCGTCAATTAAAGCATTGCTTCGTATAAGATCAAGGAGTCCTCTAAGTCCTCTCAATTCCGCCATAAACCAGGTTTTAAAGGCATGCTAGATCACTATGCAATCCGCCGCCTTTCTCGAGAGAGAAGTGAGCGAATTACGCGCTGCTAACGAGAAGCAGAAGCAAAAGCGTACTAGATCCCGGAGGCAGATACCCGCTAAACAAGGCCTCTCAGTACAAGAAGCTTCTCAATTGATTCCTACGCTCGTGGAAGCAGATGAAGCACACTATACCGGTGCCGGTATGTTTGAAGAACCGGCTTTGGAACTACGTACGCGAGCTACACCTTGGTGTAGTGGGTGCAGAGAAACTGGACATAGATTCAATAGATGCCCAGCTAGATAGATGATTTTAGTGTATTTAATTTAATGGCGTTTTGGTAGAGAGAAATGCATTTCCAATTAATAAGTTGGGTGGGGTGGGCGGCTCGGTGGTGTGGGCGGTTCGGTGGTGAAATACGTTAGTCAAGGCTCCATATAAATTGTAAGGAGAGCCGATACAGAAATATAGAGAGTTGAATACCATTGATGGGACCCCCCATTTTACAATACGACTTGATTCGACAGATGTGGGGTTCAACCAAAACCACCAAAACCACTGTTTAACTCAGATCACGCCAAACGGTGTTGGTGAAAACTGCTAAACCTAAACGGTAAAACTTGCCTGAATGAACGCACTTGAATTTGCTCAAACGTTGACAGTCAAGAATCACGTTTTCTTTTTCATGACCGCCCTATCAATCTCTGCTTTATACCAGTTTAGTTTTGCTCAACTGACAATATCTACTTTTCCGCTTGTTATTCAACAGTTAGAAGGCGCGCTATCTAAGGTTGATTCTGAAGGCTTTAGCTTATTTGCCCGTGCTGTAGTTTAAAGGCTGTTGATAAAAGTCATACTTTTTCTGTTTCATCATTACATTATGCGCCATCAACTATGCTCAAATAACAGCGTTCAAATCGTCACTTATTTTTCAACGGTCACACCCGCGAGTTATTTTGGCAAATTATGAATATCGCATCACCATTATTGACGGAATTTGCAGGAATGGACTGTGATTGTTGAACACACGACGATGGTTTTAGTCTGACAAATACATCAACAGTTCTCAAGAATCCACTAGTCAGGTAAGTTCACCATCCTCGGATATCGTTATTCATAGGGTGGTGACGTTTCGTATAAGTTACCCAGTTCAGTCGTTTGCACACATCGGGTAATAAATCTTACACACACACACACAATTTATTAACGCCCGGCGGCTAAGCCGAAAGGGCAACTATCTCTGATCTACTGTACATGTCATAATATATATAGTACTGTGTCTCCTCAGAGCCCATACATAAAGCCTTGCAATATATGTCATCTCAGATGTCTGTATCGTAGCGAATAAATCTTACAGTACTTCCCGAAACTGGTGTCACCACCTACACTCTTCGATTGTTTCTCAAACCCTAATTGCCAAGACAGTCTAGTCTATATTGAGAGTTCTTCCGTAGTATCCCTGTCAGTGGGTCTGTATCGTTTCTTACGCAAAGTAATCTGGAAAAGTAGTAGGGTGTATTGACTTGTAATTTGATACAACTGACACCTCGATACCCCACATTAGAAGCTGTCGTTGGCAGGTCTTAAAAATCAATCACAAGCGGTCACACTAAGATGGCGCCTAAACTAGGGTCTTCAAAGCACGAGCGTGCTCTCTACAGCCAGCGTATTATCTTGATAATCATTTTCCATAGCCTGCGCCATATGCCGAGGATAGGCTTAGTTTTATAGATTAAAGAAAACCACGCAATACGTTGCAGCAGGGCGCCATATCTATGATTTGGATAAGATATGTATACAGAAACTATCTGCTTTGTGTATGGGTATCTTCGGATTGTTCTACAATCGGTGACAGTTGAATAGTGATGATTGGTGTGTTGTGGCATGCGGCACGTCCATTCACCGCATAGTAGCTCTGCAAGAAATTGTTGTACAAGGCGCCATTGTGGAATTCACTGTGTGCATGATTATGTAGACTTAATTTAGACTCTTTGATTTCCCTACTTTGCAATAGCCGAACTGCCATTTGGAATACGCGATTTTTCTATCAATTGCAACTAAGACAGTTCTGTTTTGTCACTTACCATCCTTGAAATCACATGCTCTTAACAGATCCACGTTGAGGCTCGAGGTTCATAGACCCTCCCGGCGCCACTACCGATATTCATGCCATTATCTTCTCACGTGTAACCTCTGCCAGGACATCTTCGCGTGATATGTCCCCAGACAGTGCCCTTGCAAAGAGCGGTTCAAGAACCTTGAGATAGTAAGCGCATATGTGCTGTACCCATTCGACATCCAGGTCCTTCCCGTATCTCCGCATGACTATGATACTCCCATCCAAGCGCCAAGGGGAGCGACTAGACATGCCCCAACGGTCAGATTCTGCATCTATATCAGTGGCTAGATGTTCGGCATAGAGGTTTCGCCAAGCATCCTCTGGAAGTTCATCCAGTAGCATGATTCCATCCTTCAGTTCGTCACTATCGATCTGGCATATCACATCGGATCTTCAAATGCCATAGACAGGCCCGAAACCATCTTAGTGCTTGGGAAATCACGATCGACAACCACTGATTGGAACTGTTCACAGCTCTTGAGCTTCTGCTCAAGGGG